TGAGTTAGTAACCAGAAGATTCTTCATCAACATGGAATCAGATAAATGACTTTTTTTGGAAGACTATTTTGCTACCTTATATTTTCACAAATTATGTCGAATATTCTGCATGAACTTTTCTGAACTAATTTATGCTTTTACTTTTCTCTTACTAACTCCTTCTAATAGTAATTAATTTAAAAATTACTGCCACAATTGTGAAAGTTTAAAAATTATTATGAATCCTCTTTTAGTACAATATTGATGCTATTGAAGTCTAAACTTTCTGTAAAAAGTGCACAGGGACTTGAAATTATCTAGTCAAATGCATAAGTGCAGTGGAAATAAACACAGTTGTGTGGTCCTAGGAATGAGTCTCACAGACGATGCAGGGATATGGAACCTCGGCATATGACACAGAGTTGGCTTTGATATTGTGGAGAGGGTTAGCCCAATCAAAAAGTGGTTCAGAGGAACTGCTTCTCTGAGGAGCAAGAAGCTTGATATTTCCAGATGGGTTCAAAGAATTTAGAGTGAAAGTAAAACTTTAAAACTTTTAGAAGAAAATATAGAATATCTTCATGAGCTGGTAAAGCTAAGAGTTTCTTAAATAAGGTACAAAAAGCATTGGCCTCTGTCTATTCAAGTGGAGTATGTGCTTATTATACTGTTTAGTGGTTCCAATCCTGGGTATATTCCATAGAGAAACCCTCACATATATAGGGAAATTCCAACAGGAATGTCCATAGTAACATTGATTATGATATTTTTTCTTTTTTTTTATTTATTGGAGTTCAATTTGCCAACATATAGCATAACACCCAGTGCTCATCCCGCCAAGTGCCCCCCTCAGTGCCCATCACCCAGTCACCCTACCCCTTGCCCACTTCCCCTTCCACTACCCCTTGTTCATTTCCCAGAGTTAGCAGAAGTTGGGAACGATCTAACATGACTTTAGTAGAAAAACAGAAGTATCTGTGGTTTTTCACTCAGTAGAATGCTTGCTATACTTTTCCCAAACATAATAGGAAGTGACAAAAGCAGGTTGTAGACTAGCACATACAGTATGATACTAATTTTATCCAATTTTAAGATATAAAAAATAATACTTAAAACATTTTGAGAGATATATACATATGTAGGAAAAGTGTGAAGAAATGCAAAGAGGTGAGAAACACCAAAATCAGGTACAGTTTTCTCTGAGAAGGAGGGGAAGAAAGAGTAAAATGTGATTGTGATGAAGTACACAGGGATCTTTAAATGTACTTACAGAGTTTTACTTAATGAGAAAATTAATGTTTGAAAGGTGAGTGGGGGAAATGCAAAAATTTTATATTGGTATTATAAACTGAAAAGTATTCACTAAAATTTCTCTCTAGATACTAAGAAAAGTGAGGGAGAATTTATGATGAGCACAAAACTGTCATTAACTTATGGTCATAATTCTATTTCACAAGAGCATTGCCCTGTTTGTTCACTTACCTTATACAACAGATGAGGTTCTAGCCTATTTGTAAAAATCAAATCCATTTTCAAAGGATAGCCATTTATGATCTTTTGAAAACAAAGATATTACAAATAATTTTTTCCTAAGTACTAAAGGCAAATTTGAAAGTTGAATTTCTCCTTTCCTGGCATAATGATAAATCTTATACAAACCAATGAAATAAGTATAGAGCACTAAAATTGACTAGTTTGAAGGAATGATACTACTCTGAATATCTAAATTCTGGTATATTAGTTAAGAGGTCAGTAATGATATGTTATCACCATTTTTTCTGAAGTTATAGACTTTACAGCTCATATTCTCTAAATTTAACATTAATTAAATATATATTTCAGTCTTACAAGTCTCTCTTGAAACTGGGTTCTGTAGCTTAGTTAACACTAACATTTCTGTTTGTCATCTGCATCATAATGAAAAAGAACCATCATTTTCCCTAATTCCCGGCTTCTTTGTATCTCACTAACAATTTTCATTGTTATTATTATTATTGTTATTGTTATTGTTATTATTACTCAGGAGTGAGGAGGAGTGGATAGCATATGGAAAGCAGGATATCACAATGATAAGATCTTGAACCTGTTCATGAAACTTGGGCAAAGCATATGTCACATCTAAATTTCATTTCTTCTGAGCCTGACTTGATAGGGTTGACATAATGTTTAAATAGGACAAGGCTCATAGCCCTCAGCACAGTGTTTAGCACACAATAAGCACTCAATAAATGCTAATAGATGGTGAGCATGACAGTGACAATGCAGCATGTATACGGAATTGACTCAAATACTGAGATTGGATGATTTCACCTTTTGAATAAATGAGTAAGATACATAGAATAATAATAATAATAAATAGACTTATAATGAACATTCATCTTTCAACTGCCTCTCAACATACTTACCCGTGTAAAATTTGGTGACTTAGGGGGCGTTGCTGCTGAAATGATTTGGGACTCTGACAGGACCTTGACAAGCCGGGACAACCCCTTAATGATGCAAGGCCTTCCAGCTTTAGCGTTTGGTCCATAAAATATACACTTTTATGTCCCTTCCTATTTGACGAGAGAGCCGTTATTTCTGCAGAAAATTCACTTCTGATCTAACTCCCGTAACTTTTACTGGCAGGTGCACCCATCCCTCAGCTGCTATAAGAATTGGTTGCTAGAATTCACAGCTGCACCCTACTTCGGAGAATTTCTCTCAGCCCAAAGAGGCAGTGTTGCCCACAGATGATTGAGGTTGGGGAAGGAAGCCTCTGGTAGCCAGGGACTGCTGATGGAGAGATACAAGCCCAGCTCCCTTGCCTCAGGGTAGCTGACTCAGTGGAGTGCTTCTTGCTTCAGTGCTTTCTTCTGGAATCAGGCTGAGCATGGGCTGCAGTTAATGCACATCTTTGCCCAACTTTTTCCCCTGTGCTATTCTGCTTGCAGGATTTTTTTTATCCTGCTTACAGATTCCCCCCCCCCCCGCCCCGTAAAGTCCCCTAAACAAAGCCCTCTAAGATTCTAGTCTCAAGCTCTGCTTCTGGAGGATCCAACCTAAGATACCTTCTGAGTATGTCTATTTCTACAGTTAAGTTTGGAATAAGAGAGATTTTCTGTTGTTTCTCTTCTAGACAAATGCACAAAAGTCTTTAATACCTTGTGGTTTTTGTTTTCTAGTCTTGTACATTTATTTAGATCTTGGAGGTTAGTGACCATGATAGCTTAGTGCTCCTCTTTTGGTTTGATACATATTAAAGACAGGAAACCAACATAGCAAAACAAAACAAAAACAAACAAACAAAAAACACCAAACAAAAAACCCCCCACAAACCTCTAATCCCCGGAGGCATGTGGGCGGCAACAGCATTTCAAAGCTTTTCTTAACACAGCTTCTACCATATAGGGTGAAGCTCTAACAAGCATATCATTTTAGCTAAAGAATAATAACCTAAATTTCATCCTTACTTAAAAAGTCTTCCTTTCAACGCTGCTCCTAGAGGTGTGATGAAGACTCAAGCTCCCATATCTGACAGCATGTGTAAGATCATGAATTTGAAAGCAAAGAGATAGTTTCCATGCCTGAATAAAATTATTAATCAATTTAATTGAAGTTTCTGAAAAATATTACATCATTTCAAAGATCTGTTTCTAAGAACTGAGATGAGAAGGTGGTCATAGAAGGAATTTCTGTCTTCTGCTTTGTTAATAAGAACCTGTCTGCCAACAGTCTGTATTCGCTATTGAGTATTCTCAGCTGGGCAAGTCCAAGGCCATAATTTGACTTTAAATTTCAAGTCCAGGCCATGGCATTCGCATTGCATCAGATGCTGAGGAGTTCATGTGCAGCAGCATTAGTTTTTTATGATTATACTCCTGCTAGACCTCTCAATGGCATTTGGTGCTTCTAACAGAAATGCAATCTGGCTGTCATAGAAACTAAATGAGGTTTGTCCATCACTCACCCCCACGGAAAGGCTCCTCGTTATTGACAACTTGGAGAGCTCTAGTGTGGTGTGTGTGCTTCATCTCATTTATTTCCTGTCATAAATGGCTGATGTTGCAGAAAAATGGAGAAACGTATGTGTGAGACGAAATGGGAGGAAGCCAGGGAAGTTGGAGGAGGCATCAGAGAGCAATGCAAGTCTGACCCTAATAAAGAGGGTCAGGGAAGGGAAGGGAAGGGAGGGTCAGGGTCAGCGAAGAATGTTGGAAAGAAACATCTCAGAGTACTATGCAGGGTAAAGAAGTTTTAGCAAGGCTGTTGGGGAGTCTTCAAACCACATCTGCGGCCTGGTGTCTTCTGTATCTTTCAGGATCAGGACTGCCATGCTCAGTCATTGGCTAGGAGCAGTCTGTGGGCAGCCTGGAGTTGGCACAACTGTGGAAATGGGTCTCTGAGTGTTGATGGCAGGACCTTTGGTGAGTTAAGCTTCCTACGGTTGGGGGTCCATGAGGTGTAGTATTCTCCTGGTTGCTAGATATACCCTACCATTTTAAAGACAATGAGATGAGAAGAGGAAGGTAGAAATGGGTTGTAGTTTGAGAGATGTTTGGATTCAAGGCAAGGTTTTATGTTGTTTTTTGAGCTAGAAAAACTTCAGTATGTTTGAAAGCCTAGAAGAGGGAATCTGCATGATGGGAGAAGTTAAAGTACAGGAAGAGAAGAAAGGAAAGGGGAGAATTCGGGTGGGGAGTGTGTGTGTGTGTGTGTGTGAGAGAGAGAGAGAGAGAGAGAGAGAGAGAGAGAGAATTAGTTAACTGTGAAGGAAGAAGACTACAGTGAAAGAAGGATGAAGAAATTGGATAAAGGTTATGGATTTGAGGAGTGACATCTTATTCCCTGGGGTAATGTCTGAATATGGGTTAAGGCTGAATGTCATTGGAAGTTGAAGGGAATTGTGCTTGTTTTTTTTCAATTTCATTCAAAATAGGAAGGAAAAAGAGGTAAGATTGGGCTTAGAGAAGACTCTGCAGATCAATTTCTTGATGAAGTAGGAGGCGAAGTTATCTGCTAAAGGTATTATTTATTGTAACTCTTCTCATGTGACAAAATTCCATACATAAAACTATAAGAGAAATAATATTTAGTATATTAAAATTAATATGTCAAATATATCTTTATATTAAGATGATTATCTAATACATATATCTTTCGTAGGCATGTGTATTTTTGTTTCTTGGAGTATAACCCAAAACTAAAATATTCTCTTGATTTAATTAGGAATTTAAAAAACTGACGTATTGAATTTGTCATTCTCAATCAGAAAAAAATTACTGGAAATATACTGTCAGTGTATTACGTATATTTGCTACCAAATTTAACAAAAACAAAAATGCTTTTGAACCATGTAATTTATCTCTTAAATAATTTCATCATATGAGCATATACTGGCTTACCATATTAAAAAGTAGACATTAAAGTATTTCATAATTGGAGGGGGACTTTGACATCATTTGTTTCTAATGTGAGGGCCTCAGACTCCCAGAATCTATAAATTGAGCAATAAATGTTGATGGCCTATTTTCTTTCTTTCTTTCTTTCTTTCTTTCTTTCTTTCTTTCTTTCTTCTTTCTCTTTCTTTCTTTCCTTCTCTCTCTTTCTTTTCTTTCTTTCTTTCTTTCTTTCTTTCTTCTTTCTTTCTTTCTCTCTTCTTTCTTTCTTTCTCTTTATTTTTTTGATGATCTATTTTCAAATTTCAACATACCAAATGGAAATCACACTTTACCCATATGAAGGCTGAGGTTACAATGACTTAAAATGATTTCAATTCAGTGGGGCCACTCTTCAGAAGCTCCAATGGGCCTTTGCAATATTAAAGTATGGAAAATGCATTAATCAGTATTTAATCAATGAATTTTAAAAATACACAAAGGCTTCTGAAATACAGGATTAGGGTAGGGAAAGGATTATAAAAGTTTGAGGTAACTGGTCATAAAAAAAAGTTGGGAAAAATTGATTTCATCTAATCCTGTAATTTGCAGATGAGGAAACTGGGAGGATAAATAGTTTACCCAATATTACTTCGTGGTTCATTAGTAGTAGAGCCTGCTTTAGGATTTGCCTATTTTGGACGTTGTGAAAAAATTACCTAACATGCTATTTTCCTGGGTGTTAGGGTTTTGCATATTGTATCATGGTGTTTAGTGTTCTTAGCATTTGGAGCCCAAATGCTTCATATTTTGTTTGGAGTTGCTTTGGGAATGAGTATGTCTGAGTAAGGAATGTTCTAGTCCAAACACTAGGCCAACTTTCCAGTAAAGTGGTTAAAAAAAAAAAAAAGTCCCACAGAGGTAATTGAAAAGCAAAAGCCTTCAAAAGAGTTCTCATAGTAAAGAGGTGCCATAAAAGCCTGATTAATTTCAAAGTCCATCTTCATTCTTCATAATTTTAGGGTAGTCCTCATTCATATCCACTCTAGTTACAATAGTACTTTAAATAGAGCACATAATTAAAATATTAGTGGATGAATCTGCAAAAAGAAAACTTATTTTGGCTCTTCTAAATTGTAATCTTAAGTGCACACACTAAATGTTTACATTCTTATCAAATAATTAACATATATTCACAATTAACAAACAGAAACAATCTTTATACAAAAATTCTGCTACCACTGTCATTTTTAAAACATTTATCCTGCCAGCAAGAGAGGAGACAGTTGTGCCTTTTTCAGGATAGATAATTTGAATAAAGAATATAAGATACAGTCATAATTAGAAGTTCAAACAATAGTTTTCCTTCTTGTGAAATGTTTTAATATTTTCTTCCTTATATTTCTTTATTCTTCTTCTTCATATTTCTTTAGACAACACAATCATTTCTTCTCATTTTTTTTTCTTTTTAAGAAGGGGAGGTTGTCTACAGAAGGGAGGTGGTCTACAAGAAGTGCCTTCATAACTGCAGTTGAGGCAGAGATGGAATATTTAGTAATTCTTATATTTCATTGGTGTAGTCTTCCAAGATGTCAAAATCATTTTCTAAGTCCAAAGTTTCAAAACCTCATAATCAAGATTTTATAACAAATGGTAATGAGTAGTTGTGTGCATTCATTTTCTATGATATCCAATCACATGTCAATTAAAACTTAGACTTCATTCTGGCAGCAAATGAACATAGCAGAATGAACAAAGCTGAGACCTAGTCATTGTCATAGATGCAACCTGGAAAAAAAAAGTACAAATTTCAATATAGTTATACAAAACACATTTCTTTTAAGTGTTCCAAGGTTAGAAATGTGGGTGATTCACACCCTCCCAGTTTAGGATTAAAAAAAATGTAGAATTGGCCCATTTTATGAAAAAGTAGTTAAATGGAAGATCATATATGTATTTAACTTTCAATGCTCAGTATATAATTCTAACTAAGTTTTTGGACAGATTTATTCTTTATCAAAATGAGACTGAGGATTATTTTATTGGGCAATTAATTAAATGTACTCTTTGGTAGTTACTGTAAATGAGATTGGAGATATTAAATATCAGTACGATCCTAAATTTAAAAGGAAACTAAAAGGCAACATGAGTAACTATATGCATCATTTCAGTTGAGATTAAGTTTTTAGAGTGTAATTTATAAATATGTGATGCTAAAAGAACACTGACAAGTAATATAGGTTATGAAATAAGTACCTATTAACTGGTCAAGTATACATATGTTTGTGGATGAAAGTAATTAGAAATTAAGATTAATAGTATAATGAAAAATTCACTAATAATTTTCATGCTTCTGTTTTTGAAGAAAATAAATAAGGTTCTCCCTTGATTTCCAATAATGTGCACAAATAATTTTTTAAAATTATATCACAGTATCTACTTTTCCTAACATTTTCAAGTGATTCCAATTCTGTTCCGATTGGAAAGCTCTAATTAATCCAGCAAGCTATTTTTAGTATTTATAAGAACAAAAATTCACTGTTACTGTTCTTGGTGATGGGTGCCATGTAAGACTTACCATCAGCAATATCATCATAGATCTCTCCATCACTGTAAATATAGAAAATAATTTTTATTAAAAAATATGTTATTAACATTAAGGCAATATTTAGATTAAAAAGCTAGTAATATAAAAAAGCTAGTAATATGATTTTATATGACAAAATTAAGCATTTAAGGATGAGAAGTTTAATGTCATTCACTTTTAAGTGGGAAGAAATTTCATAGTCATCTGCATCATCTTTCATTGGTTTAACCTAATCCTCTGTTATATTCTAAAAATAACCAAAAGACCCACAACTTATTCCATATCATAGACATGGAATAGTGGAAACATGCCTCAGGAGCCCCACATATGCTTTATTCATCTTTAGATCCAACTGTGAGCCTAGCATAGAGCTGTGTGCTGTAAGAAGTACTTTTTGAACTGCACAAACTGAACAAGCATAGCACAATACTCCACTTGGGGCTCTAATGGATTTTTTAAATGTACAAATTATAAAATATATAAATTTTCAAATTTATATTTCAAAATGAGTAGCCAAGATATGGTTCGTATGGTGATTCTTATGTTATATAATCCTAAAAATATTTATGGTTATAAACTGCATGCATAGTAATAGTTCTGGCTACTTTTACACATTTTGGTTGTACTTGGTCCTGAATATTTGTAAAATATTCCTTTGTACACACCTACTGAGTCCCTCCTATGTACCAGGAGATACAGACATGAGTAAGACAGAAGCTTGGATTTCAAGATGCTTATAATCTAATGGAGGAGAGAATTATATGCAAGTAATTAAAATAGAAAGTATGATAAATGCTAATATAGTCTTGAAACATAGAATACAGTTTTTTGTTTTGTTTTGTTTTTAGAATACAGTTTTAAAGTTCAGAAATATAAGAGGACTTTCACTTTGACCAGATGCACTATTGGTTTCTGTATTATCTATGCTTTTATCATGGAAGCAGCAGCAGGCTCTCCAAGTCACTGCCAACTGTGGCAGATGCTGTGAGTTGCCTCTGTCTTTGTTTGGATCCTTTCTCTGAGATTAGGGAGGGTTTGGCTAATAGAAATCTGACACAAATACAAAGAGGACAGATTTTCCTATCATTCATTCAATAAGCACTTATTAAGTATTCACATCAATAGATGGTGAACCCATAATTTCTTAGGGTATAAATTCTAAACTCTCTCTTCATCATCCTGGAATAATCACTGATGAAGTTGTCCTCGTTATGCCATATATTCTTTCCTTGAAATTTGTATCTTTCATAAAATAGAAAAGCGCCTTGCCCACCATTGTGACTAATGCTCTGAGAAAAAGAAAAGTGTTGTGATTATTTTTCTTTTGACTCTTTACTAGTTTGCTGACAAAGCATTAGCATTGAGTTGTCTCTTTCTGATTGGTGTCAGGTTGTTTATGTATACAGTTTGTGAGTCTTCCTTGATTTTTTTATTATGCAGAATTCTGTAAATATTAATGTTGGTGTATGACCTGATAATGGAGTTCATTTCTTGCATTAATATACTTGCAACAGAATCTTATAACATTTGAGGGGGATTCTAATAGAACACTAGTACCAGACTGTGACAATGTCTTATTCATAAGAATAGAAGAATCATTGAGGACTATCTTTTTTCTGGCATGCTTCCAAAAGAGCAAGTTAATACTCTACTATGCCTAGTAAAGAAAAGCCCTCAATTGAAGATTACTAACAGGTGACATTAGCACCTACTGTGTAAACACTAATTGGTTCCTGATTAATTCATTTCAACCAACTGCATTAATCAGTAAGTGATAGGCAAACTATTAATGAAAGTGTTAGTGGTTGTCCTCTGTCTCCAATGTTTTGCCCTGTCTCCAATGAATATATATAATTATGAACTGTATACTCATGAATGAGAAGGGTTCTTATCTATTTAAAAGAGTGACACTTTATGAAAACCATAACTTTATTATGGATCCTACCCTACTGACATTAATATAGCATATTTTTTAAAAATTTATTTATGGCAGTTCAGTAGAATGTATTATTTAAATATCAGAAATCTTTCTTATAGAAAAGTATAATATTTGTTTTACAAGTACAGTAATAGAAGAAAATGAACTTACTTGTCTACCAAGTAACTCCGAAGGACATAACCATCTATGAAAAAAAGAAAATAAATTTTATTAATAGTACAGAATTGAATAATCTTTACTGTTTCTTTTAAGAAAGTGAGATAATTGAATATTTAATAGGATACAATGTAATATAATATACTGAATAATTATATCTATCTCCAAATAGATATAATCTAATGGAGGAGATTTTTCTTATTTGTGTCCACTGTTTTCCCCTTCTTTCCTTCTCCTTTTCTAACTTTTCTCTCTCTCTCCTACATGTCTCTTTTCCTCCATTCACAATCTTTCCTCTTAAAGAGAATCAAATTATCTCCTTCTCCATGCTACTGCAGGTTGTAGCACAAGGCTCCTTCAAATTTCCTTCATGGTGATACCCATGCCACACAACCTAGGGAGAATTTATAGTTTCTCTAAATATAAAAGTAGTTTGTAGATAGGTATTTTAAATACCACCAGATCAAAGCCTTAAGTTTTAAAATTTTATTATATTACAGAGTCAAAACTGTGTTGAACTTCCTTTCAAATCAGCAATCTTGTGATTCCTTGTGGAGGTAGGCATTGTTTTTAAAGATTTTATTTATTTACTCATGAGAGACACACACAGAAAGGCAGAGACACAGGCAGGGGGAGAAGCAGGCTCCAGGCAGGAAGCCAGACCTGGGTCTCGATCCCAGGTCTCCGGGATCCTGCCCTGGGCTGAAGGCAGCACTAAACTGCTGAGCCACCAGGGCTGCCCAGGAGTAGGTATTCTAAATGGTTGCAAAATAATTCTCATGTTCAGCGTGGTAGGTCTTCCATACTGCTTTTGCCATTTGACAGAGTGTCAATGTGTGCATTTTCATCTTTCACAAAACAAATCATTATTAGAAGAACACATACCAAGCATTCTAGTGATTCTCCTATTAAATAGGAAATAGACCATATTTTATGCAAAACAAGCAAAGGTGGGTTTTTTGTTTGTTTGTTTGTTTGTTTGTTTTTTGTTTTTGAACACCTTATCTTTGCCCTTATGGTGCAAAATAATCCTCAGGAAAAAATACAAGATATTTTTCTTGAGAGAATTTCTGCTGACATTTAATTAGTATTATTAAGCTTTGGAATAATTAGTTTTGTGTTAGCACCTAAACACTACTATATGCTTGAGATTACTACCATTCATCATTGCCTTGTCAACACAACCTCTGAATTCTTTCAGAGTCCATCTATTCAGCTTGGTCTACTTTAGATCTAATTTTTAAGTAGAGTAAATGTGTAAAAAATTAAAAACCAGGAAGGTCATAGGCAAAGATTAACACATATAATAAATTTACTTGAGTATACTTATATTGCCATTGATTTAACATGCAAAAACATTTTTAAAAAAGTTGAGACCTTACAAATGAAACTATAGATTAAGACTTAAGAAGATGAACTTTCCCTTGAAATATTCCAGAGTAAAAAAAACCCAAAAAAACCAAAAAACCAAAAAAAAAACTCCACTGAAATATTTTATCAAGAGATTCATGACTTTTTAATGAAAACTTTATTAGAATTCTATTTGGAAAGGAAGAATCAAAGTTATCTTTGAATTCCTGTAGTATGGAAATAATGAAGCATGTGTCAAAATGATAAAAGCACAATAATGTAATATTTTTCTCAGACAATGAAAAATTAGACCTTGTTATACCTTCCTTTTTAAATTTCAGTTAAAGCAAAAGTACTAAAATTATTAATGTAAGAACATCTAAAATTAATATCCTTAGTTGCTTTGATATCACAGTTCTTTTATTCATTTCATGTTAACAGACTTATAAAAAAATTAAGATATATATCATAATTTAACATAATTTTTAAAGGGGGGGATAAACTCATCTCTAAAAAATTCAATTCTCTACATGTCTCTCAAAAAAGAAAAATCTAGGCAGATAACAAGGTTTTAGAACAAGTTGTGGATTTCTTGTCATGGTCCCAATAACTGAAATCTGTCTTTACGTGCACTGATGTTGGGAGCTAAAATAAAAAGTGAAGAGTTCTCTATAGATTGTAATAGTCAAATATTTTTTTTGTTTGTTTTTTTAGTCAAATGTTTTTGTTTCCATTAGTTAAAGTTGGTGTTTCTGCTTTTGTTTTGAAAATTTTTCTTAAATTGGGAAATAAAGGAATACAATATTAAGTGTTCCCATAAGATATTTATGTTTAAGTTAATAATTTAAAAGTAATGATGTGGATGAGCTGAAGCTTTTTACAACAAAGGCAATGTCATTGCGAGCTATTCAGGCTTTGTAATGTTCCTGACCTAAAATTTGAAGATACAAAATTAGAGAAACATATAAGAAATATAAACTGTTGTCAGAGACTAGACTTAACCCAGCATCAAATATATTTGTTTTTTTAAAAAGTCTTTAGAAGATTAAAAGAAATAAAGAACAAAACAAAGAGAATATAGGCACTATTTTTGGAAATTAAAGTTTTTATTTTTCTTTGCTTTTACATAATCTTTTAAAAATTCATTTATGCTAAAGTTGTGTAAACCTGGATAAAGTACTATCTGTAGTAATTAAGCATTAAATAGTTCTTTATATGGCTTAATAACTCATGATCTACAGTTTAATACCCTATCTTTGCAAAATTAATTATAAAAAATATATTTTAGATCTCAAATCCCTATTACATTTCCTCCTGTATCTTGCCTGTTCAAGAGCTCTAAGGAATGGCTTTTCCTTTTGTTGAATGCTCTGCTGTTGCTGTTACTTGTGTGTGTGAGCTACATAAATGTGAATGATTATGAATATTATTTAGGAAAAATATATCAAGGAGATGCAGTGTGGGAAGGTACTATACTGCTCTATTTTAGTTTCCTGAAATGATGTGATAATTTGGGGCTCATTAGCTATACAATTACTATTATATAGCATTTTTACAGGGCCAGTGACTTTTAATACAGTATAGATTTTGCTGTCTAGTACCTTTAAAAATCTGTAAAACTTCATTCTATTAAAAGCATCATTCATGACACTGCTGAAACAAGTGACTTACCATGATTTTTATATTTTATATAATCTCTCCATTATAGTTCCTAGAAATAATTTTTTTGCAATAGGAAAATGATCTCTGTGCTTAAATGTTCCACGTACATCCATCATAAGGAATATTAATAAAAAATACATATGAAATAAGCAAAAAAGTCATCATGGCTCCATACCATGTAGAATGGCTGCCATGTTTACTGTGGGTGCTGGCATACCAGGGATTCTCATACTTAAGAGAATTTCATATTCATATTCATGAATATGAATTTCATATTCATACAACAGAACACAGTGGCTTGAGACAAGGGTTTTGAAATATGTGGTGGGATAGAGCTAATTAAGAAAGTCACATCCATTCCCCATATGTGCCAACTCTCAGGACTGATTCACCTTGTTATGAAAGAAATATAAAATCATCTTTGGAAAAGTTGAAAATATCTTCATTCTAATATTTTCACATTTTTCACTTAATAAAAGCAACAATTTCTATTATTTATGATTTCACTTGTCATGAGCAAGTACAGAAATAAAGTTAAATTTACTCAATTTGACCTCATGTAGTTTAAAAACAGTGAAATCAGGGATCCCTGGGTGGCTCATCGGTTTAGCACCTGCCTTTGGCCCAGGGCGCGATCCTGGAGTCCCGGGATCGAGTCCCACGTCAGGCTCTCGGCATGGAGCCTGCTTCTCCCTCTGCCTGTGTCTCTGCCTCTCTCTCTGTGTGTGTCTATCATAAACAAATAAATAAATCTTTAAAAAAATAAAAATAAAAATAAAAACAGTGAAATCATGTCGTACAGATTTACCTCGGCAAGGGGACCACGTCTGACTTCAAGGGAACATACTTAAAATGTAACAAAGAAAAAAATAAAACACAGTGTATAAGACTAAATATGAATTATTAGCCTGCTGTTATAGAAATATTCTCTCTCCCTCTCTTCCTTCTCTCCGTCCTCTCTACTTACTTCTAGGACTTCAAAGCGGGGGACTTTCAACATTTTGGAATTTAAAAAATTTTCTTCAGTGAGCACGTGCTGTTTTAAAATTGAAAACGAAATGATTTAAACAAAGAAACGATTAGTTGGATTTGAGAAAATCCAAACTATCTTTGAAATTCCCTTTCCTTGATGCCCAAAGAAAATGGAGAGCATTTTAACCACAAATAATTCTGTTCATGTCTCCTTCCACACTTTTTTGTAGAAAATTTTTCTCCAGTGACAGGAGGTGGGGAAACCCACAGCTTATGAGACATTGAGTTGTGGAATACGCTCAAATATTAGTGAGAAATTCTAAACATTTGGGAATGTGCCAGAAATACATATTTAAGATCTCAACGCCTCTGCGCTATGTTTTCCACAAGCCAGTGGGTGAACTGATCAAATGTGATAATGCTTGTAATAGTGGCTTGTACTCAATTCCACCATGGGAAGAGATTATTTGTTAATACTTTTGCCTCTAATTTCTACCATTACAAATTAAGTTTCAGTAAGCTATGTTTTCTTTTCTTTGATGGATTAAGGAATGGAAAGTAAGGAAAATGTTAAGGTTACCATGGTGTTGGATTGCAAATGCCTTTACAGCCAAGCAGATATAGAAGTAAGGAACTGAAATATTTAAAGCCTCCTAAATAATACACAGCAAGCAAGCTACATCAGTAAGGCTAAGATAGAGAACTGTCTTCTAGCAAGTTAAACTCTTCCACAGACTTCTTCCTGTGTGTGTCTATATGTCAGACTTTCATCTGGTTCTCCAACTGCAATTTCCAAATTGTTACATTCAGCTCAGGAAGCCCTGAACAAGGTGCCAGGCACCACAGGATGTGTTGGCAGTACAATGTTGAGAATATTTCAGTGAAGTTACTCTCAAGCTCAGAGTCTAATAAGAATAACAGATTGGTAAAACAGTAAGGACAATTCCAGAGACAGAAGAAGTAGCATGGTGGGGCAGGGGAGAGATAAATTGTGATGGGTGACTGGGGAGTAGGGAGTGGGTGTGCTTCCAATTTTAGATGACAACAGGATTGCTTTTAATAGGCAATTATGGGCATTTGAAGTAGAATAAAATAGCATAGAAGGATGAAATAGCCTAATTTACTTAGGGAATGACAAGTACGTAGTATATACTTTTGGAGCATCTGTTGCAGATGGGAAATAGTTGATGAGATTGAAGTTAGATCTACAGGGTTTTATGTACTAGCCTCAGATAATATTTGTATATTTAAAAATCATATCTGAGTAACAGTGTGGCAGGGAGATTGGCTGAGAGTAAGGGTAAAGGAGACATAGCATTTGAAAGGCTATTGCAATAATGAATGTAGATGAGGGAGGTTAAATCCACACAATTCTCTCAAATCCTATAGAAGTCATGAGCAACGGATCAGAGATAAGGGAGAGTAAGAATACCAAGGATCCAGTTCAAGGGAGGAATAAGCAGGAAGTTTAGAAAAATTAAGAAAAGCAGGAGATCTGGCAAAATAAAAGTGAAATTAAGCAGGTACAATAGTCACATTTTGGAACAAAGCTTAACATGAAAGGCAATAGCAGATGCTCCAGGTGGCCTTCCCATAGACCTTCACCCTAACCATGTTGGTGCCTTTTGGTTCACCCAACTTCCAAAGAATAACACTTGCAGTTTTTTTTTTTTAACTGATCATTTTTCTCTTGTCTTCCAGATGTCCTTTTCAGCTTGCTCAGTACCCTGAATGGCTCACCACCTGCCCAGGAGGAGGCTTCAACTCCACATTAACAGGAACTGATGTATAAATACCCCAATTTGTTTCTCCCTGGGTGTGATAACACTGCCACTTCGAGTTCCCAACTGGAATAAGCTCCAATGATCTAAGTGGCAACCTTTTCCACAACAAGGCTTTGTCAACTGCCTTTCCTTTCCTGTCTACTTTCCCACTTGCCTTTGAGTGTTTCCTAGAATCACCTCCTAAACCAGGAAACCAAGCTAAGGCAAAGTCCAGTCAAAAGAAACTCTTTAAATAAAAAAAACAACAGGTACACAAGCACTACTGATAGAATCATCAGGTTTCCGTCCTGTGTGGGATGGACCTCGAGCCCTCTAAGCCTTGAATAAGCCTTGAATTCGTTATCAGTGAGCCTGGGAATTGTAAAGGGCATTGGTATTGCTCCAGAAAAAAAAAAAAAAAAAGATAAAAGTGACATGGGGCCCTTGACTGTGATCTATCAGCATTTTACGTAATGTTTGCCCTTCTAATTTTTAACAGATGATAAATTCTAAGAGGGCAGGAACCCTCCAATATTCATAACAGTACTAAGGATTATTGAGGTCCAAATAGGAAATGAGTGCCGATTACAAAATTATCCCTAAGTAGTTACTGTTTTTCTCATTCCTAAGGTCTACTAGCTCCTGGAAAGAGGAGTCTTCTCCAAATTTCTGTTTCTGGTGCTGCATCTTCCTGCCCATCTACATCCACACAGGTTGTTGATGAAGCCATTTACACCCTTGTTACTCGAGAGTATGTTCCATGGACCAGCAGCATTCATTCCCTGGCAGCTTGGAAAAGTGCTGAATGTTACACCTCACCTCAGACCTACTGAGTTAGATTCAGCATTTTTGACAGGATCCCCATGAGAGGGGTTATGGATTTTGAAGTTTAAGGAGCATTTCTATAGATGGGATTTGGTGCTAAAGACAAGAATCTCGGGACAGCATGGCAAGATTGGTCTGCAGCTTGTATCCCGGAGAAAGGGTCACAGGACAAGCACTAGGACAATTCGCTCATAAAAAATGTCATATACTTTGGAAAGAAAATAGGTTCATTTAGGCTCATTACCCTAGTCACTATTAGCAGTATAGTTCAGTTTCTTTATTTCATAAATTTTTAGAAGATTTTATTTATTTGAGAGAGAGAGAGATCACAAGCAGTGGGGAGGAGTAGAGGGAGAAGCAGACTCCCTGCTGAGTAGGGAGCCCGAGATGGGACTCCATCCCAGGACCCCAGGATCAAGACCTGGGCCCAAGACAGATGCTTAACTGAGCCACCCAGGCGCCCTATTGACATAATTTTTTTTAAAAGATTTTATTTATTTATTCATGGGAGACACAGAGAAAGAGATGCAGAGACACAGGGAGAGGGAGAAACAGGCTCCCTGTGGGGAGCCCCATGTGGGACTTGATCCCAGGACTCTCGGATCACACCCTGAGCCGAAGGCAGACATGCTCAACCTCTGAGCCACCCAGGCATACCATATTTACATAATTTTTAAAAAAGATTTAATTTATTTATTCATGAAAGACACACACGCACAGAGAGAGAGAGAGAGGTGCAGAGACACGGGCAGAGGGAGAAGCAGGCTCCATGCAGGGAGCGTGATGTGGGACTCGATCCCAGGTCTCCAGGATCATGCCCGGGGCTGAAAGTGGTGCTAAACCGCTGAGCCACCTGGGATGCCCCTAATAATTTTTAACATGGCTGTAAATCCATCCCATGTTAAGCAGGCTTCTTATTTCTCTTACTATTGTGTCATGAGAATTTCCTCACATTATTATCATAATCATCATGTAATATTCAATCTGGTATATTAATCAGAACCTATTTAATACCTTTTAAGTTTTTAAATGTTTTAATATTTTTGATGATCTTTTAATGCATACAGCTTTTCTGCACTTAAAGCTGTTGCTTGGGGTACATGCTCACAAACGTTAGTCTGAATGGGGGCTTTCTTTGTCTCCTGCAGCACTTGTTTACACATTATCTCCAGTGACCTTTGAGTCTTAATACTACACTACCCGTGTCTTTTATTCTTTGTACCCACATTTCATTTTCTCCTTTTAAAAACCAACCACACCTCCTCCATGATAACTTTAGATCCATTTCCCCAACCTTGAGTCACTGGTTTTATTCTTAAAACTCCCATTTCAGTTCCTGTCCCTGAGTCACCTTCCTGTCATTAAAATTTGACTCAGAGTTCATGTTTTCCACACAGACTAACCAAGCTGATAGGGGGCATCCATGCTGACTATTCGATTTTAAAGACAGGACACATAATTCTGAGTTACTCTTCCCTGGACTTTAAATAAAATAAACTTCCTTTTAAAATTTGACAGAAACATTTCCAACTGCAGTTTCAATAGCCGATAAAGTCAAATAAGACAAGGACTCTCTTGTATTCAATCCTATGCTGTATTAAGGAGTGCACTTGTCATCATGAGTGCTGGGTCATGTATGGAAGTGCTGGCTCACTATGTTGTACACCTGAAACTAATATAATGCTGCATGATAACTACCCTGAATTAAAATTAAGTTAAATTAAATTAAAAAATAAATATAGGAAGCACTTTTTTTTTTTCCAGGAAGCACAATTTGGAGCTACTCTTCCCTGAACTTTTTTTTTTTTAAGATTTTATTTATTCATGAGAGACATAGAAAGAGAGAGAGGCAGAGACACAGGCAGAGGGAGAAGCAGGCTCCATGCAGGGAGCCCAACGTGGGACTTGATCCTGGGTCTCCAGGATCACACCCTGGGCTGAAGGTGGCACTAAACCACTGAGTCACTGGGGCTGCCCTCTTCCCTGAACTTTAAGTGAAATAAGCCTTCTTTTAAAATTTGACAAAAGCATTTCCCTCTGTCAGTTTTTTTTTTCCCTCTCTGTCAGTTTTAATAGCTGATAAAGTCAAAGACAGGGACTGTCTTATATTCATTTGGAATACTATGTTGTATTGTGTCCAAATAGGAAAAGAAAACAAGTAGATTTGCAAGGTAGGAAAACTGGAAATTCTAGATATGACATGTGCTATATAATTTCAAAACTAGGCCAGAACAAGAGCCACTCACTACTTTAGCACAGTGGTTCTCACTTTGGTGTACCTGAGAATAAGTTAGGGAAGAAGTGATGATCACATATTCCATCTGACTCCCCGGAACTCATAACTTAGCAAGTCAAGGGTGAGTCCAGGAAACTGTGATTTTAATACACAAAGGGTTTTCTGATCCTGGTGGTCTGTGGGACCACATTTTGAGAAGTACTAATTTGGCATTACTTTGGCACCACAGTGCCAAAAATAGCAGGTTTTTAAGTGAAAAAGGATTAAAATACAATACATTGATTTCAGCACAGCACTATCTCTAGTTTCTTAATGTATGTTCCACAATTCATAAAACATAGACAAAACAAAGATAATAAAACAAGAGCGATCAGGAACATGCATCTGATTATTAAATCCCAGAGTGCCATAGCAGCGAAGAGTAAGCAGTGACTTACATTTTCCTTCTTCATTTCTGCAGAGAACTTTTGTATCATCAGTGCTTTGTATAACTTCAAGAGATTCACCAGGCTTCACCTGTAGATCTCTGGTCCCCCATTTTTTGGAGGTTAAGGCGGGTGCTACTTTGGTGGAATACAGGACTCTAATTTCACCATCATACTGGAAAAATAAAGAAAAACATTTAATTTATTGATTGATGTGATTATTAAAGTAATCCATCTATTGACAGGTTTATTAAGAAAGCCTTTGCTAAATAAACAGTTCCTTGTTTTCAAAAAAATAATGTAAAAATATTAAGGAATAATTTTTGAGGGAAAACCACTCATAATCTCACCAACCTAATATAATCACGATTTTAAAAATTAAAAACATTTTAAAAATTTAAGGCGTACATGTGTTGATTTGATATAGATTACAAAATGACAACCATTGTGGCTTTAGCTAACACTTCTATCACTTTACATAATTACCATTTCTTTTTTTGTGGTGAGAACATTTAAGATTTACTCTCTTCACAACTTTCAAGTATATAATGCAGTATTGCTAACTATAATGACCATGTTGTACAGTAGATCCCTGAAACTTATTCATATTATAACTGAAAGTTTGTACCCTTTGACCAATGTCTCCTCCACGTCCTACCCCAGGCTCTGGTAACTATCATTTTACTTTGTTTCTGCGAGTTTGGCTTTTTAAGATTCCACGTATAAATGATTATTATAGGATATTTGTCTTTCTCTATTTGACTTATTTCACTTAGCATAATGCCCTTAGGGGCCATACATGTTGTCACAAGTGGCAAGATTTCCTTCTTTTTTCATGGCTGAATAATATTCCAGGGTATGTATATGTATGTGTGTTTATATAAGAATCTTTTTAAAAAGATTTTTATTTTATTTATTTATTTATGAGAGACACACAGAGAGAGGCAGAAGGCTCTGTGCAGGGAGCCTGATGTAGGACTCGATCTTGGGACCGGGATCATGCCCTGAGCCGAATGCAGATGCTCAACTGCTGAGCGACCCAGGTGTCCCAAGAATCTTTTTTTTTTTGTCCATTCTACTTCTAGATTATCTTATTAAAGTTCAAAGAATGGCTAAATCTAAATTATTATTACAGTATATATATTGTGCATGTATGAGATTTTGCTTGATTTGTTAAAGGAATACATTCAAATGTAAGGACATTTTTATAGAAAATAAAGCAGTTACAATGGATAACTGACGTTGACAATTCTGCTTTTAATACCTGCAGTTTGGTATTTAAAAATCATTGTTTTTTTTTCCCCCACTAGTGCTTTGAACTTTGTCTGATAATTAAATATGACATACTTTAAACTTTTTCCTGAAGTCTTTCTCTTCTTTTTCTTGCTTTTTTAGCTTCTTAAGGTCTTTTTCTTCCGTCTTAGCCTTGGCTCCTTGACTAAGATGGTAGAACATATAAAACAGCGTTTAGTTTGGTATAAAAAGAACAGTGTGCAATAGAGACTCCATAACATTACATTTTTGTCAAATTTTGTTTTTAATTAATTCCTTTTCTTACAAATCTAGTACTTTCACTGTAATAAGTGGTAATATCTCATAACACAGAAATGATTCTTTAAAGAATACAGATTATGAGTAAAATGGAAGGAAGGGATTACCTATTACGGTGAACCATATACAATTATTGAGGTTTAGTGTAAATATGGTTATGTAACAGAGGTTTCATATAATTCAACCTATCTATTGTCAAAATCCCTATATTTTTCAAACCTTCCTGGATAATTAACTGGTTTGGCCAATACCATAGAAAAGGCTTTTTGAAAAAGAACATTTTTTTAAATTGATTTTTATGTCTTGAAAAGTTTATCTATATGTCAGGTTTTCATATCAGCTTAAAATAGAGCCAGGATAGCATCTCAGAGACCAAGTAGACTAAAGCTAATCGTCATAATAATAAGGCAAAGATAGTGATTCTTCAGCCTGGCCACATACAGAATCACCTGGGAAGTTTTTAAAAAATACCAATGCCTTTGTCTTATTCCTAGACATTCTAATTAAATTAAATACATTCTAATTAATTAGACTGAGTGGGGTCTAGATACTGACATATATTGTAAAGCTCTCCAGGTAATACTAATTTGCAACCAAGGTTGAAGAACACTTGCTAATGTTGAATGTGGATGTTAGGAAAAGGCCAGAAATCTCTGAAGGAGGAAATTTTAAAAATCAGAAGTTTTGTGAATAATGAAAGATTCTCAATGCTGATATTAATTTTTATAGAGACCACCTAAAATAAAGTTTTGTTTGTAACTGATTTGTTTACAATGTTTAATTCTTCAGTTTTGAATCTTAGAATGCAGTTCATTTACCGTGAAATGTATTAGCACATTGTCCTGCCTTGGGTTCCGCATCTTTCCTCAGTATCTCCTATATTACAGTGCTCTGGGCAGTAGAGGAATTACTATCTTAAATTAGCCGTTTGGAACTACAAGGATATACATGTTAAAAATGGCCCATGAGCTCTCTTTAAAGTAATCTATTGAAATTCAGTTTTAGTTAAAAATAGAATACTATGGGAAAGAACATAAAATAGTCTTAAACTCTGAAAATAAGCAGCAGTAAAGAAAACGGTGCATATCACATAAAGTTTAATCAGCTGGGGTTTATTTTACTTGAAGAAAAGGTCCAGTGTGTACCTGGGTTCCTAGAGAGCTATTTAATGGAATGTGGTGACATTTTTACAGTACTACAAAGCCGAAAAATGCATTAAAAAATGTCAGGGATAGAAGTCACTTCTCAATGGTGAGGAATTTTCAAACCTAACATATTACTAAAGAAGATTAGATTTTCCTTTCAGATAAAAGGAAAATGATTCTCTTTTCATCTTTCTTGTTTGTTGTGCCTATCGAACTTGATCTTCACAAAGAAATGATAGCATATTCTCCCTTCAGTGTCTTTGATCTTGATACTTTCTTCTGTTCAGTAAAATTAACAGTGTTGGTAAAAAAAAATAAAAATACTAAATAAATAAGTACTCATGCCTTTTTGCTGTACAGCATGGAAGACACTGCGTATTCTCTCCCATTTATGTCACTTTCGTCCTTCAACTAATCAAGTCCAAGATCCTTTTATTCACCTTTTTTCCTAAGAAAGCTATAGAGGTGTTCTTACACAGTATGTATTAGCTCATCTCACATGTTCATTGGAATATAAAAAAGCATCTTACCAGGTTATTTTCTACTTCAAAAGAGGCTTCAAAAAGTACTCCTTTGTACTAACTGATCTTAATAGATTTTCATACAGTTTTAACCTAAAGTTAAATTGAAACCTTAGGTGACCTGAAGAATGTCACTATTCACCCTCAATGTTTTCTTTTTTAAATTTGAATGGAACCTTTAAGAATCTGATGCTTTTGTGAAAAAGAGACATAATAAAGTCCTTTTTAAAACACAAATCATCTTTTTTTTCATAAAGGAAAAAAATCTTGTGGAGGACACAAGAGATTTGAAGAAGGTGGGTGAAAGGTGAGATATAAACTAAGAAGTGCATTCAAGACAAAAAAAAGCTTTTGGGAAAAGGGTAAAAATAAAGGGAGGAGATGAATCAGTGAGATCAGTTGTGATCAGGCTCTCAAATATTTTCTCAGTGACTGAGTATATGAATGAATAAAGAATGTAGACATCAGTGAGTCACAGGGCAGAGAATAATCAGGGGACCAGGAGCAGAACACCCAGGAGAGGGGGAGAAGTGGGGGGACCAGGGCTCTTCCCCATAAACCTAGAAGACACTTTAGAGCTGGGATCAGAGAGAGGACAGAGCAAATGGGATCAAACACAGTGGATACAAACACTACTGGTCTTTTATTCTAGTAGAATTTTCTGGATCAGTTAGATTCTCATCTCACAATGAGAACATTTTAATTACCTCAGCTCTGCTGGTGGAGCAGGGAAATCAGAGGCATCCACATCATCATAAACTTCATCTCCCACATCTAACAAAAGGCAAAATATCAAATGTTGAAACACTTTTAGTTTGAATTTTGATATGAGCATTCGATGATGTTTTTAATATAAAGATTGTTTTGAGGACAACAAAGTAAGTTTTCCTGGGATCTCTGTATATTTCTCCCAAAAGCATTGTCTATTCCTTGAAGGGGAGAGATTTTTTCTCTCCCTGGATGCTTCTGCTAAATTTCCCTCAAGAAAAGCCAGTGACATAATTGTAACTAGCATTATCAGGATAAACCCCTCAAATAGTGATTAAGATTATTTGAAGATCAACATATGTGATGAATGTCAGGTTTAGTAGACAGCTGACAAACAAATCAACATTACTGGCCATTGGCAATAGGCAATAGAGATCAAAATCAAGAGTCTTAGGGGTTTTGGGAGGGTATGGTAATATATATTATTTTATTTATATGTCTATATTTGTGTCTGTCTATGTTTGTCTGCCTCTATCTATCTATCTATCTATCTATCTATCTATCTACTTACCTACCTATCAATCACTCAATCACTCACTGATCTGTCCTTCATTAGCTTTTAACTTGTAGTAATATTAGGTGTGATACCACCTTAAAGTGGACAGAATATTTCTATTAATAAGGCATGTCTGGTACCAGCAGGTATTGAGAACCAGTGTTGGTAGAAAAACGGCTGTGCCCTTAACAGGTTCAATGGATTTTCCAATCCATGGATACTTTTCTTCCATCTAGACCTCTTGTTAATAAAATCAGGAGGATTGCTTCCTCTGTGCACCTACTAAGTTGCACACAGCAAATTAAGCTGAAGAGATGAGTTGAAGAGAGTACAAATGTTTTAAGGAATGATTATCATAGAAAGTTTAAATGCTCTGTGCTAGTGGCAAGGATTTAATTTCAAGAACTCTCTATACAGCATATGGATAGACTACATACATATGCCTACACATATATGCATATGTGCATGTATATACGTACATATGTATGTACTCTATACATATATTTAACATACACACTTGTCTGTGTGTGAGCATTCTCTCCCCACTCAGGGAATTAATTTCACAACTATGTGAAGAACTAATAATTAATATATAAAAATATGACAGATTATTGGTTTCAAGAATGGGAAAAATTACTATTCCATACACTTGCACTTAGAACACACTTGAGAACAAAAGAAAATTAAGACAAAAAACCATTTTTTTACTTAACTGATCACGTTTGCTTCACTTTATACCTACCCTTTGTGGAGCTAAGTTTCTTGAATACTTTTTGAAAATTATAGATTAAGATATAAACTCATCATCAGTTATCGATCAATTTGAATTAGTGTCTTATTTTTTTTTTTCAAACTGATAACTGAAAATGAGGTCAGATAAGGAGTCTGGAAGAATAGGTTATCTGTGTGTTTAGTTTTCTCTTTCAATTTATTTATAAATTCGTATCAACTTTTTGAAAGCCCCTGAATATTCTTGTGAGATTTCATTTTGTTCAAAGTCAATTTAAGAAGAATCTTTTAAAGGTCTGTCTCAGCAGGGATAAGAAAAAATAAGCTGATCAAAATTGTACGAAGAAGAAACTGTTTTACATTTAGCAGTGGAAAAATTTCCCAATACAATGTAATTTAGACATTTAAAAAAAATCAAAGAAATTTAGATTTAGAAGGGCCTTGGTGTCATATAACCTGGTACATTTTTAGAAATCATTATGCAGAAGCCCAGTATAGCAGGGTCGACTGAATTGGGGTAGAGGAGACATGAGAAATCTTGGTGTCCATCCCTGCCTACCTGTTGTTTTCTCCATAGTGACCCCTATGGTGGTTTAAAACCATCAATATTAAAAATTTTCCTCTTCCCACTCTTTAAGTGTTGAGAAACTGCCCCCCGGCCCCAGGAGCAGTTGCTTGACAATTACATGAGTTATTATATCCAGAGCCAGGACTTTAATCTAGAAACCATGACTATATCCAATGCTTTCCCACTATCTCATCTGCAAGAAATGAGATATAAAATATATAATTAGCTTTTATTACTTACCCAATTGTTTAGGAGGAGAAGGGAAACTGGAAAGAAAATGAGAACACATTTATAATCAGACCAATATAAACGAGAAATTGAGACCTTTTATTTAGGGGAGGCATGAACAAGTAATAGCCCAGAGGCTTCAGACTGCTAATTAATCTATTTGATGGTCATTCCTTTCTCATCTCCATTTCTCCACTGAGTCTCAGCTCCTTTCCATCAATTTTCAATTTTGCAAGACTTTTTTTTTTTTAATTCCAATGGTGGCCAAAAAAGTCAAAAGTCAAGGCATCCAGTGGTTTATTTTGCCCATAGCCATCTATTTTTGAGGTTCTTCCAAATATTTTCGATTTGTTCTATGAAGTTTGGGCATTTTACCACATCAGAGTAAATTAAATGGACTCAATGTTTTGGAGTCATTGTGGCATAGCTCAGGTCAAAACTTTTTATTTGACTTAAAGAGTAGAAATGAACAAAGGTCATAGGATTCTTTCTATGACCATGTTTTCCCAAACAGGAGAATGGTGAATAAGAGAGGAATATCCACTGGAGCCACAGAGGAAGAGCTTATTAATCTGAAATCAGCACTGGGTGGCATTTAGTTGCAACAGAAAAAGGGCTTTGCTTTTATAACTTTCTGAACTTTAAACACACACACAAACACACATCACTAGAAGAATGGTGCACAGTTATACTAAGGTGTGAAAGGTCATTAGTTCAAATGACTGAATCAAAATTAGGAGGTGTGCAATTGGAGCAAGAAAAATAATCTCTGCCTTTATTTCTAAGTAAGGTCATCATTTGAATAATGCTGTATCAAGAGAGGATTTGTTAAAATCAAAGAGGATTTGTTAAGTTTACTTACAATTTTGAGTGTCCTGTTTACTAGGTGTTGATTTTAGGTCTCACAGAAGAGTTTAAAATAGAATTCTATGTGGAATTAACATTTTATAAAGACTTTAGTGAAGTATGGAGAATCTGTTGAGCTACCGAGACGTTGAATATTTATTTAGAGAAAAGAAATTCCAAATTTTGTCCTTTACTTCCGGCAAATTAATTTTTAAAAGAGGATGTCTATTTTGAAGGGTAGTCACTATCAAATATTATATAATATAATGTGGCCTTGGCATTGTGAGCTTTTAGATATGATGCTACATTTTAAAAAAAAGTTCTACTAAACGCAGTATGTATGAGTATGTGAGGGTGTGTGTTTGTGCATTTGTGTGTGTTATCTGCATGTTTGTAGGGAAGGCAAAATATATCTTTAAACCATATGATAATTTTTGAATACTTTGTGCTCCTCTTACATAAATGCGTGAGTGTAAGGGTGACATAGTAAATAAGGCTAAAATGACTAATGGAAAATAACATCGAATGACTTAAGCCTGTCAGAATTTGGTTATTGGTTATAAAATATTAGTAGCATTTGATTAAATTAATATTAGTGTAGTTATTGTGCGCTGGATTTGGTTGGTTGACTCTTACGATGAACCTTCATTATTGTCTGACTCAGAGACTTTAGGTTTCTCTCGTATACTTTTCTTTCTGTCATCTTTTCCCTTTAACATCTTCAAAATCCCCCAGGACCACGAATTACTCTTCTCTTCAACCTGTAGTGTGGAGCTTAGGAGCATGCAGGTATTGATCAGAATGGAATCATCAATGGAATGTGAAGACGTTGGGTGGACATTCAGATTTTTTATAATTATACTGCATTGATCATTCAGGCAGTAAGTTACTCATTGTAGTCATCAAGATGATGCTTTTAAGTTTATTGGCCACGGTCTTTGAATATTGCTGCTACTAGTAGGTAAGTTATTTTTTTCTATTTAGTGAAATATATCTTGGTTTTAAAACAGCAAGCTAAATCAAAATTAAGTTTTAAGTGTCAATTTTGCATTATTTTATGTTTAAAATTAAGTGAAAATCTTTGTTTTAAAATATGCCATTATAAAAGTTTAAACACTTAGAGAATTAACACTGTTTTTTAATTTTTATTTTTTAATTTAAATTAAATTAATGAACATATAGTGTATTATTAGTTTCAGAGGTAGAGTTCACTGATTCATCAGTTGTACATAATACCCAGTGTTCATTATATCATGTGATCTCCTTTATGCCTGTCACCCAGTTACCCCATCCCCCTCAATACTAGTTTTGCCACAAATAGCATATGGTTTCATTTTATTTGGATTGCCTATAACTATGGTTATTATCCAGAGGATAGCCATGCAACTGATAAACTCTCCAGAGATTATAGATTGATAAAAAAATGATTGTGAAAAGTTTGAAAAAAAAATCTACAACACTGATAATTCTTTTTTATTTCATTTCTTTTGAAAAAGTTGTTGAGGTTCTTCCAAATAATATGCCACTTCACTTGAAGTGTGGTGCAATTATACTTTCTGACTTACATCTGCTATTAAGTAAACATTCAAACTATTATTCGTGTGGTAATAAGGAGCACTATTTTTTGTTTTTTTATTCAAACCAGAAATCGACACTAAATTTCAGTAGGCAAAAAATTTTCAAGAAAGCAGTTCACTGATTATTCTTACCCATCATCAGCATCTTCTTCTTCAATCCCATCATAAATATCATCATCTGGGGGAGGAGGTGGGAACATCCCTTCATTTGGATGGTGGGGGAGAGAAACTTCTGTTAATTTTATAATTTGGTCATGTAATAGTCACTCAAAATTTGATAATAAATCTGCCTTATTTAAACTGCAGAAAACATCCCTGTTCCTTATTAACCATTTAATTAAAGAATAACTTTATTTTCCCACTCTTACATAGATATTAGGTAAATTGTTTTGTTGATTATTTTTAAAGGAATTCTTAGAGGTGAAATTTGAATATTGAATATGAAGGATGATAAAGGGTACTGTGCAGTGGGGAGAATAAATCTGAGAAAAAATAAAACAGTTGAAGATAGAGTTAAAATACTGTGGAAAAGAGGAGGGAGGAGGTGATAAGAAAAATTTAATTAATAGTGAGGGGACATTCAGAAAAAGAGAATGATCAAGATATAAGTGAAGAAAAACAGAATTCAAGGTGAATTTGTGAATTTTGGTGGTAGCTCTGATTCATTTAATCAAAGTGATATTTTAGGAGTTAAAAACCCTTTGCTGTAAATCCCCAGGAACCTTGCTATTTGACAAATATTTATTTATGAAATGTTTATTGAGTACCTCCTCCATGCAGAAATGTGTACAAAGAACTTATAATCTGACTTTTAGGATGAGAATTTTAGCACTTCAAGGTATTAGTAAAATACCTTTATTTTGGTGATGAGGATATGAGGAGTTTTTAGCAGTCATAGTTAAGGTAACCATATAAGTTATCATCCAAATAAGGATACTTCTCAAAGTGAAGGGGGATACTATTAATAATTGTGCTCAGACAATTGGCATAAATCAAGACTGCCCTGGGCACACTGGAAATAGAGTCACCCTATAACCCATAACAAACTTGGAGGAAAGAAGTGACTTGTTTAGGGTCACTCAGTGGTCAGGACTGCAATCTAGGTCATTAGCTCCTAATCCAGTGGTACCACATTAAGATCCTCCTCATTATGTGCAAACAAAAGCATCTTGTTATTAATATAGACAAAATGGTGAAGACATAATGAAATTGCTGATAAAAGTGTGTGGCTTACCTCCACTTCCACTCTGACTGTGGCTAGGAAAAAAATAAACAAATTAAATGAGCTTATGAATTATGTAGCTAATGGGAAGGAATTGCCTATATTGAACAGTTATGTAAAAGAGAAATAACACTGCAGTTAAAAGTTATCAGGATGTTGTATGTAAAGAGGAAGAAACATTGTTCCTTATCATAATAGAAACAAGGCAAAAACCAAACCAAAACAAACTAATAAGAACCAAGTGAACGTTAGTACTACATAAAGTCTTCAAAGCAATGTTACTGTTTGTTTCTAACATTTCCCGTGAGGTAGTTTTCAGGTTATACATTATTATATCATTCTGTAGATAGATTTATGAAAAACAACCAACCAACCAACAGTATTGTTCCAGGAGTCATAAAGAACCATTATTGCAATTAAATTCAATTCTCTTTTAATATGTTATACCCACAACATTTTAATCTTAGTCTAGTAGCAATATAAACTTTTTTTAAAGGGAGGGTTTCTAAAAACTTGGAATCTTATGAAATCTTACTCTCTTTTTAAAAACAAAGATTATTTATTTGAGAGACTGCACATGCACATGTGCAAATGGGAGGAGGGGCAGAGAGAAAGAGGGGGATAGAATCTTAGGCAGGCTCCACACCCAGCACAGAGCCTGACTCGGGGCTCAATCTCATGACCCTGAGATCATGATCAGAGCTGAAATCAAGAGCTGGGTGCTTAACCGACTAAGCCAACCAGGTACCCCGAAATTTTATTATTATTGTAAATAGTGTGGCCCTGAATTTTCTAAATCCATATTGTCTGTATTTCATATTTATTTCTCTAACATTCTGTGTTTTCCCTGTTTTATAATCATCTGTTTTCTTGCCTGTGTCTCCCACTAAAATGTGAGTTCTGCTACAGCACAAGAAGAGTAGATTGTGAGAACTGGGAAAATCTCAGAGGACTGGCTTAATCCCCTCATTTTGTAGAAAGGAAACTGAGGCTCTGGAAAATGAAGTGACCTGACCAAACCCACTTTTAATGAACAGAAGAGCTGACATAAGAACCTCGGCATCCTCCCTTCCTCCATAATGTTTTGTCTACACCTCGCTGCACCCTCTGTAACCAGCATTTTTGTACTTTGGATAATCTGCCAGCAACAGATATCAGGCTAATATTATAACCATGCAGTATTAATTATACACTTGTATCTGATTCCTCAACCTTAAAGTCAGAATAAAAGAAATGTTCTAACACAGGTCTATGGTTAATTTAGGGAAAAAAAATACCACCATACTCTAGTTAATGAAACTTTGTAGAAAAACACGCTATAAATGTCCTAATGTGTAAATAAGGAATTGATTTTTGATGAAGTTTAAGTATATTCTCCACTTGCTTCCATACTGTTTTCACATTCATTTTGTCTGACACTTCCCTTTGAGCGTGAAGCAAGCAGTTAGAATTATGTGAAAAATTGCAATTTTGGTTGGCTGCCACTCCTGGCAAATACATTTCATCTTGGAGACTCTTATAACAATTCCCAACGAACAGAGTCTTAATAATCAGGAGCAAAGCTGCCACACATTATTTTATTTTTAGAGCAATTCTTTAGCTTCCTAAAATGGTCCATTTGGCATTTACAGGATGAAGTGGAAGGAGAGAAGCATGCTGGAAAAGAGAAAGGAAAGAAAGGAGGGAAGGAGAGATGCAAAGAAGTTTGGGGAGCGGAGAAGCAAGTTTGCTATGTGATGAAGTATTTGCATGTATAATTTCCTTTTCCTCAGTGTCTCATATTTATCACAGAAATAGCTTCAGTTGAGAAAAAAAGGAGAAGGATAGCTGTCAGAATCTGTGCTTTTAAGCATCCTGTCTGCTCACAGAATTTGAAGTGCACAGTCAGTCCCTCTACCCCAGAGGAATCCGGAAAGAGCAGGTGAAGCAGGCAACGACCCAAGGAGGCATCTGGAGAAGGGGAAGAAGAGGATGGTGCTTTCTCCTACTCTCGCCAGGGCAAGCTGCCGGCTGTACTCAGCATCTTTCCTTGTTCTACTAAGGACAAAGCCTGTTCTGTTGTGAGCTCTCTGCCGGCAGCAGCTGTAGCTTCAAAAAAAAAAACCCCCAAAACAAAAAACAAAACTTGTGTTTTCATTTTCTCTTCTTTCATTTTCTTATTAAATATGCATAAGGGTGACATAGATGCTAGTCAGTATTGTGGTGCTATATTTGTTTAAGATATTGAGCCTTAAAACCATATACTTCCTCCAACTCCATTTCATTAAATAGACTCTTTTTCTGCTACATGCTTACTAATTAGAGCCTGTCCTCTAGAGTAGCAGTATCTATGGACTCCATACAATGGAAAAGGCAATAGTATTAGTTTGGGGGAAATAGTTGCCTATTATGATTAAATAATTCTTCATTTTAAGAATGTCACTCCTTTTCATGGATTTGTTATTTTTTCTTCAGTGTCTGCATCATAAATATGTATTTATTAATATTGCTGTTCTTTAATCTCAAAATAAGAGAAAACATTTTTAAAATAAATAAAATATAAAACATAAAGCATATACACTGAAAATAGGCAGGATGACATACTCATATACAGAAAATTCTGTAAATCTCAGAATATGGCCTTTTAAAACTTTGACCTAAAAAATGGCATTTATAGACTCCCAAACTAGGTCAGAGTGTTTCTGATTACTAAAGCCAATTTATGTTCTGTAAACTTTAGTGCATACATTGCATATTTTGATATATATTGCATAATTTATGGCATATTTATTAAATTTATCATAAATAATGCAACATATATCAAAAATGACAAGAAGGCACTGCAGCCTGTTAAGAAAGACAAACCTGCCAGAAAGCAACACAGCGAGTTTAACCGGTGACACAAAGTGAACAACTACAGGAGGAAACTGAATTCTTCATAGATTTTATAAGTATATTAATAAGTATATTACTATTTTGATCATTTTATGTTTTAAAAATATTTGATAATTGAAGCAATTTTTTTCTTTGCAATTTGAGTTATAAAGAATGCAGACTCACTTTGACCCAAGTGAGGATCTAGCACAGATTTTATGTTTCGAGATCATAGTGGATGTTTCCCAATTCTACAAAACGGGCACAAAAAACCAAGAATTCCTAACATCCTCTTCTTCCTTCAACTTGAAGGGGTTATGGCTTTACCCAGAAAGGGAGATAATGGAGGAAGGAAGGAATGAAAGGAGAAGGAAAATAGAAAAGCAGGAAGGACAAAGATGAGACAGAGAATTTTATATCTCATGCTCCATATTTTGCAAAATCATATTTAATTTAGGCATAGCCCTAAGATCAAATCAGAATGAATATTACAAAACAGCAAAATAAAAGACTAGGTTTCAAATGACCTGGCACCGACTTTGGAGTATCTGTAATTGTAATGGTAATTTAGTGATAGTGAGCAGTAGGAAATAGGGAGAGTAAAATTCTAGGGTCTTACAACACATAATCTCTGACAAGAGGACAGTCTGATCTGTTTTACAATCTGTATTTGGACATACCTGCTAACATCATCCTGCTCTGCAACATCATCATACACCTCCTGGTCATCTTCAAGAGCTCTTGATGCAAGAGCACCCAGAGAAGTTTTCTTCACTTTCAGAGAATCATAGTCAATCTCGACAGCAGTCGTTCTAATATAGCCATCTGCCAAAAGGAGGAAGGACTTATGTTCAGGTAACTGTAGTTTCGGTATCTCCAAGTTGTAAATAAAATATTAATTGCAATTTGTTCTTTATAATTTCCCTTCATTTCTTTGTGTGTGTTTCTGGTTTATAGACTTCCGATGTAGACACGTTTGACTGGACTTTGTCAAAGTCTTAGGCCGTTGTGGTTTGTGGTAAGCCTAGAGCCTATTTTAAAGATTCCAAAGTGACTCATGTGAATCATTTTTTTTTCCCCTTTTAGAATCAATGAGGAACCTCATGCTCCTTGTTCCTCCCTGGAATAATATAAATATCTACATGGTTCCCTACTAAGAGAATAATGCAGATGAGGTGAAGATGGAGCTGTCCCTGTCATCTTAAATTTTCTTTTTTTTTGTCCACCCTGTAAAATACTCTTCCTAACTTAAGAGAATTTGCATATTTAATATTGTCTTGAAAAAAACCAACACTTTGAAGTCAGAGGAAAAATTTGCACGCACATGACCCCCTTGCTGTCCTGCCCAGCCATTTTCCTTCAGGGTTATCTGTGATGCGGATTATTTCAATTTGCTCTCCTTGCTTGAAGCTCAGTTCATTCTTCCCTCCTTTGACATCACAGCAAGCTTTTGCCTGATGGATGACTTCAATAGGGCCCGTTAGCTGCAAAGAGAGGGAACAATCACAACAGGCTTTCTTACTATTCAGAAAATCTCTTAGGAATGGAGTTTTGAAAGACAGTACGTCCATGACTAGCCAACCAGTCGATTTACCACATACTAGAAACTGACGGTGAATGTCATTCCTGATGAATGTTCTCCTAAGAGGGATGAGGGGAAAATCACAGAGGTGAGGCAGGGCCAGCAACGAACAGGTAAGCATGTGCTTGGGGCCCGAGAGAGTAGCGATGATCTGTTGACCTTAGAAGCCTGTGAAAGGCTTGTAGGGAAATCCACTAATACCTGAACATCACTTATGTACAACAACACATGCTGGGTGCTATGGTTTTTATGGGATATGCTGGTGGTCTGCTTGGTAGATGGAGGTTTTTTTCCCCATCTTTGCATTGTGTGGTTATTCTGATGGTTCTTTTCAGGCTTCAAACAGCAAAGGGAAGGGAAGGTGGTGATGGTGGGTTGTACTTGTGGGAAAATCATTTTCTTTCTCCCCCCCCCCCAAATTTGTGGTGTTGTCTTTCTATAAACCTAGACATTACCCGCTATAAACAGATACCATTTTACAAATAGCCTTGTAAATAAAAAAATAGCAAACAAACGTTATGTGAGGTTTTGAAAATTAATATCCTGGACAGTGTAGTGGTTTCATGACAGCAGGAGAATACAGTACTCCCTCCTTTGTGGTTATGTCTTCCGGGATTTCAGCTACCCTGTGGTCAACTGTGGTCTAGAAACAGATGATTCTCCTTCTGATCTATTGTCAGATCAATAGTAGCTTAATACTGTGTTGCAATGCCTAAGCCATTCACCTCATTTCATCTCATCGTGCAGGAACGTTATCATCTCATGTCATCATAAGACAGGTGAGTGCGGTACAATAAACTATTTTGAGAGCAACAGACCACTTGCGGTAACTTTTACTATGATATAGCGTTACAATTGTTCTACTTCATTATTAGTTATTGTTAGTCTCTTATTGTGCCTAATTTATAAGTGAAACTTTATCCTAAGTATATATGCAGAGGAGGAAACAGAATATATAAGTATTCAGTACTATCCATGTTTTCAGGCATCCCCTGGGGGTCTGGGAATGTATCACCTGTGAGTAAGAGGAACTACTGTAATCTAGTTTAGAACATGAATCCTAAAGTCCTAACTTCCTAATCCTAAATTTGCATCTTTTTCAACACAATTTCTTGGATCTTTTGAAATGCAAATACGCGTTGTGATTTTTTTGAAGCAGTTCTGCTCGTCTTATTACATTCATGACGTCATGAATTGTGAGACCTATTATCAATTATGTACCACTAAGAGATAAACAGCTTATTTAAATTATACTATGCCAATGATATTAAGATGCAGCCGAATTTCAGAATTTTAAAATGTGAAATATTCTGTGTCTTAGAATTGATGAAATATGGTACTATTGTAATGGTTCTCACATTTATTTAATTTTTTTAATTTTAACATCTTTTAACATTTTTGTGGAAGGACTACAGCTTGTGAAGTCCTAGTCTTTACAAACTTTGAGTTCATACTTAGTGGTAAGATTTCCAAAAACTATTTTTTTCTTATTAAAAATGTTATTTGAATGAATGAGTGAAACAATTCAAAATTGCTTTCTCCAAAAGAAACACAAAATTATAAAGTCCCTTCATAAAAGTGTGTTATGAAGACTTTTATTTGAGAAATTAATTTTTCATATTTGCCACTTGAAAAATATGAACATAAAATGTCTTAATGGTCATTCTTAAATCTTATTTTACTTACATATAGTAAGCTTTTTGGAAATTTAATGAGAACCTTAGCAGATATAGTGCCTTACATACATTATTTTATTTAATTGCACAATAAACTTTCAGAAGAGGTATCATTTATTCTCACTTTAAAGAATAAGAACAACAACAACAACAGAAGAAGAAGAATCTGAGGTTTAGGGAAATTCAATAACATGCCCCTATCACATAACTCACACAGGCAGCTGGAATTTAAATCCACATCTGTCCAATTGACTCTAAGCTTTATGTTTTTTCCTGTACCATGCTGTTGAACCTTTGTTTTAATACAATAAGTGTACTGTGGAGTTAAACAGAAATCAAATTTTTATAAATCAAACTGTATATTAAATGTTTCAGTGGAATTAAATGTTTAAAGGAATCTTGACATGAATCCTTTTTGTAGTGAAGAATAGTTCTGTCATTCATATAATCACCTTCAATATAGCTAACACACCAGACCTGTGTCAGATGGGACATGTCATCAAAGATGGTGTAGCCAAGAGGGGATAGCCTGGCAGTATAGTGTTGGTGGTAGTAATAGGAGTCATACAATTAGAAATCAGAATTCAGAAAAAAGAGAGGTCAGAAGTCCAGGTGAAGAAAGAGTGATGAGAAAGAGTGGGTGTCAGAAATCAACGCATATAAGCTAAAAATATCGGCAAAAATGTAAGTCCTGTCTAGACACCAGTAGAGAGAGTAGTTCATAGCAACTTTACTCTGAGACAGGTCTGGTTCATCCATTTGTGTACGTTGTATGATTGTGATACATGCCACAGGGATATCTGTGTGTGTGGTCCGAGCTCATACTACAAGTAGGTTAATATCAAATGTGAAATAATGAGAGCCAAGCTGGGTGTGAGCAACTCATTCACTCAATCAATATAAAATTTCCTAGGTGCTCACTAATCATAAGCCACCATTTTTATTTGGATTTTATCATATTCCATTTTTACTGAAGGTATCTAAGGGAGTATATTGGACAAAATAATTACTGTTATAAAGGTAGTTGCTTTTTAAAGGAAATAACAATTAAGCAACTCTCCAACCATGCAAGTTTTCAAGAATGGTGCCCCTTTTGTGTGAAAGGTATAAAAAGAGATCATTCTTGTTTTACCCATCAGCAAGCAAGCTCTTACTTTAAATTTCTTCTTTATTTCTTGTTCTTTCTTTTCTCGCTCTTTCTGTTCTTTTTTCTCCAACTCTAATCTCTTCTTTTCCTCCTTTTCCCTTTTTTTCTCTCTTTCTTTGGATGCTTCTCTGTGGATAAAAATTGTTAGGTTGTTTTGGCCTTTGCAAGCACCAATGTGTTATAGCTCACACATCCAGAGGTTCCTACCTACCACAGAATACGGTGCCTGACAGTATTGATGAGGTTATAAAGCCAGGGGTTGTTGAAATTCCTGAGTGTGTGAGACTGCTCTTAAATCCCGTAGAAGGCATACAAATGAAGATACCTTCCCAAGGCTTTGCTTCCCCTCACAACCTGTGCTAGCAAGTGGAAGGCATGCTTATAAAGGCCCAATTCTTGCTGCATATCAGCATGAATACTAGTAATCTCTCTCTTTCTTTTTCTCTCTCTTTCATGTGCATGAACTCACAGGTACAGAGTATGCACATATGCATACATGCAAACCTTAGTTCAGAAATTTTAGTCCGAATTGGTTATATAAGAACCAAGTACAGAAAATTAATACATTTAAAGCAACAAAAGAAAAAATAAGGTAATATATTTATTTCTCCTTTCACTCAATTTCCAGAAATTTCTTAGTCCTGGCCTATCCCAGAAACCCATTTTAGAGCTATTTTTAACATCTTCCTGCTTTAGCAGGTTGAAACTTTGCCATCTGGTGCTGTGGTAAATTATTTCTCATAGCACCCTCATGAGGTGAAGTACTGCCTAGGTGGGGAAGTTGTAACATATAAATGAATTCATTTTCCCAAGGACACACTGAGCAAGATGTACAGATTCCTGGTTCAGTGATCCTCTGCCTGTGGTCTATCCAGCAGCTTCGGGTCCCTGGCCTCTCACAGAACATTTTTGAGAGGCCTCCATAAAAGTTTTAGACAAAGAGACTTTAGTCCTTTGTATTGAAATAAAGGTTATCATTGTGTGCTATTCACTGGAACAATAAAGCCTTTCCTCCCTAGGTATTGAATATCCATCCATTCTTCCTCATAGAAATCATACTATTCATTTTCAAGGGGAAAAAAATCATGGTAAAAAATATAATTCATACATGTCTTCATATGTTTCTCCTTCACTGTCTTGTTCCTGTCAAGAAAAACATTAATAATGATTAATTGTAATTATTCAAAAAGGGAACATACACATATTACATTGATCAACTACTTAGTAAAATAAGCATGAATTTAAATGTATGTAAATTTGTCTTATTTAAAATATTTTTTTTTTCTTTCAAGAGATAGACTGGAAAAGTAAGCACAAAAAGATCTTATTTTATTTTCTGCTATATAAGTCAGATGTGTAGCCAGACTTAAGTTTATGTTCAGTGCTACAAAATTACTGTGAGTCAGTGTAATAATTGATTAATGTCTCAAGCATTTTAGATGAAATATTATTATAAATGGGAAAATACCATTGTTACTCGTAACAGTTTTCATTTGTTGGCTTATGTCAATAGAATATGAATCACAGCAATTGTTAAGTATTTTAGTTAAGCTATATAATATCAAAAGGGGAAAAAAAAACTGACCTCATCTAGATTTCCAGGACCTAAAGGGTTTTAAAAAGAGAATAAAGTGTAATATAATTAAAAAGCACTTTAGTACAGAATTATTAGACATATTCAAAACAGTACATAATCTAACAGAACTTATGCTTTATCAAAGATATATAAGTACAAAATAGACTATGTAGCTTAGATATTTACTATGGCCTTTTCCATACTTGTAATTTAAGTGTAGAATCATTTCACTGGCTTTCATAAAATAATTCAAAAGCCAAAAAATAATGAAGACTTTTAATCTTCTTTATGAAAGGCATGCACATTCAGTTTTATGGGCTTATATAGAACACAGGTATTATAACATAGGTAAATCACAATTAGTTTGTACTTTTTGACTTATTTTCTCCCAAGGATTTGGATTCATGTATCAGGCAAATCAAGTTAATTAGTTTTTTTTTTTTAAAAAAAAGATACTTTACTGGGGCACCTGGGTGGCTCAGTTAGTAAAACAGCCAACTCTTGGTTTCAGCTCAGGTCATGATCTCAGGATCATGAGACTGAACCCAGCATTGGTTTCCAAGTGGGGTGTGGAGCCTGCTTAATTTTCTTTCTCCCTCTGCCCCTCCCCCCACTCATGCTCATGCTCTCTCAAAAAAAAAACTTTATTATTCAAGTGTTTAGTGATATCAATTAATTATTAGATATATGACATAATCTAGAGCAACAATAATAAAAAACAGTGTGGTGTTGGTTGTAGAAACATATAGACCAGTGGAATAGAGCAGAGAGCTCAGAGACAAATGCATAAATTTACATACACTCTTACATACACAGGTATTACACACACACACACACACACATATAAACATAGACACACACCTATAGAGTTGATGTAGTATAAAGATAGCATTATAAAATGTTGAGAAAATGATGGATTTCAAAGTTTGGTAATGGCAAAACTGGCTTCATAGATGAGGCAGTAAATCCGGGTTTCTACTAACTCCTCAAAGGTGGACTGCAAAGACATCAAAGACTCAGATATAAGGGGTGAAGTTCATAGAAGAAAATAGAAGATAATATTTTTATTTTTTAGAGATAGGACTTCTTATCTAAAACTTTAAAAAACGAGTTGCAATGTAATAATTAATTTGATTATATGAAAATTCATTTATGTTCAGTGAAGGGCAGTTTGGGTTAATAGACAATGGACAGGATGAGAGAAGATAGTCCCATGCATCTGACATGGGATTAATATCTGAAATACGCAGGAACTCCTGCAAGGATATCAACTCCAAGGAAAAAGTGGTTAAAGGATATGAACTGGCAAGTTACAGAAAAGGAAACCACAAAGGCTAATAATACACCAACTAAGTACTCAGACCCAATATCAAGTAGAAATATGAAAATGAAGTGAGTTATCATTTTATACATAAGAGACCTGAAATTAAAAAGCTGAATAATACCAGGCATTGGCGAATCTTCATGCCCTGCTGATGGGAGTACACACAGATGCAGCTTTCCTGGAGAGCACTCCAGTCCTAATCAGTCAAATGAATATTCCATAGCTTATGAACAGCCATTCCACTACTGGATATATATTTTAACGAGAGTCTCTCAGAGGTCCACATGGGAATGTGGACAAGAACATACACTGAATTATTATTTGTAAATACCAGTGAATTGGAAGTAAAATGTGAATGCATAGGATTCATGCCATGGGGTACTATGCTGTAGTTAACAAATTATATTATACATATAGTAACATGGGTGGGTCCCCTAACACACATTATGCTGAGTGTAAAAAAAGAAAAAAGAGTAGAGTGAGCTATAATATACTGTTTATTTAAATTGAAATATGTACACATACAAGAGTATGCAAAGCATATGTACAAATAGACACGCATTAAATATATTAGAATATTTGTCTCTGGTTGGAAACAAAGAAAAAGGATAGAGATAAAAGGGGCTACATATGTAAGTAAAAGGAGAGAGGGGTCTTGTGTGGATCAAGGATGACAATGGCCCAATAGTGACCCTATCAGAATGATTAACTAAATCTGTATCTGAGGTAACAAATAAATAAATAAAACATGTTTTTGCCTCTTACCATCAGAGTGCATGACACCATCTTGATTTTCTTCATTTATAGGGCTTCTGAAAGCAAGAAAGAAGAGAAAGTAAAAATGGAGCAAGTAGATGCTCACCTTACAATGAAACACAAAACAAAACAAAACGAAAGAGTAAAAGGATCATTTTAAAATTATTTTCTCTTTAATTTCTACTCCTGTTTAAAACTTTGGAAGTTATTAGAATGGCCTTTAGCCTCTTATTTATGCTGCTACTGAGGCAAAAATCAGGGAGCTTGAGGACAGTTCTATCCATTCACAGTGGATGTATAAAATTAATCCATTGCTTCAGGGCAGTAATGTTTTCTATTAAATGGCAGTATCTCAATACTTCAATTCTGGGATTCTGAGGCATTTGATTGGTTTTATCACATAGATACCAAAGAGAATTAGTTCTAAACCTTGACTCCTTCTTTCCAGATGTTCTCCACCTGGTTTGACTTCCGTTGTTTGTGGCTTGGACTCCAAGGTGCCTCATTCCGAACCACTTAACTCCAACTACTCTTAATAGTTACCAATATCTGGACCCCACAGATCCCTAATGATTTATGCAACCATCTATATTTTCTATTTTTATTCTCATGTCAATTAGCATAGCTGGAGAAAATTGCTATTTCTCTGATCCTGATATTACAAATGGCATTCAATCTCAACTTTACCCTCAACATTATTCTATAATCCTACATACCTTTTCCTAGTGAACCTTCCCTCCCATCCTTCTCAATGGCTATTCAAAACCTTCACTGTTTTCTTCAAATCTCCTGTCCCTTTCCTCTCCCCTAAAATCAGATGATCTTGTTTCACATTTCACCGATAAAAAGTAGTTACTAGATGTGAACTCTCTTAATAAAATATATTCCTTTAACCCAAACTTGTCCTTATCTTCTAATCAAGAACACACCACCTGTGTTTTTAATTCTATCCAAATTATCAGTGTTTTACACCCTTTTCCTTCTTTCTTCTGCGCATCATCATATTATTTATATTATTGTTACTATTCCCCTTCTTTCACTCCCCTGTTTCTAAATATCTCACATTTTGTTTTCTCCCTCTGCCCAAGTTATTCTCATTCATAAAGGCCAAACTCTTCTCTTTACCTTTCTAAATCCTCCAGATTACCACAGATAGTCCTTTTCCCAGCCAAAGTGGAGGGCTGTCTGTGCTCATAGACTTGATTTCTTTTCCTTCTACTCAATTCTCCATGACCACACTCTGGCTTCTATTGGCGACCCTTTGCTGAAACCACTCTTAAAGGAGTTACTCACCAAATCTAGGACACCTGTCAGTCTGCATGTTAGCTGATTATTTTGTGGCCCTTAACAGTATGGGCCATTTTGCCTTCCTAGAATCTCCTGTTTCCTGGCTCATTTCTTGTCTTTCTAACCACAATCCCACAATTTCCTTGGTGGGTTTATTTTCCTTTGACATCCCCTTTAAGTGATGAAGTTCTGGTCTTGGCTTCCTGTTTTTTTCTACTCTATATCTGTCCCTGAATGGTCTCAGATATGCCCACAGCTTCACTTGTTCTCTCAATGTTGTTGACTTTCATTGACATCTTCAGTGTAGGCCTCTTTTCTGAGTTTCAGACTCATATATACATATCTTTACTTGAATGTCTCACAGCCAGTTCTCTAGTCACATTGCAGAAACTGAGGCTGCCCTCTTCTATCCCAGCAACCTATTTTTCCTACTAGGTTTCTTATCCTAGTGAATGGCACCATAGTCCAACATATCCACCTTAGCCTCAAAGTCATCCTTGTTTCTCACTCTTCAGTTCCAAATTAAATTAATCATGTCCTGTCAGTTCCGTATATTTAATATCTCATATAATTCACTTTCTCCCTCCATCTCTCTCCTCGTTCCTGCTAGACACAAGGACACAATCATAGCATCACTAGCATGGACTCTTGCAGTGGCCATCTGCCCCATCTTCTAGTGCTGGCATTGTTCTCCATCTTCTCCATCCTTACAGTCCTTTCTCTATTTTGCTGCCAAAATGATCTAATGCAAAATATGATTATATCACTCTCATATTCACTACTTAAGCCACTTAAAGAATTAGGAAAGAGTATTACTAAAACCCAAGAGATGCTGGTTGCAAAACTAACCCCATTTGAAGAATGTGGGATGGAAGTGCCTTGTTATCCCTTAGACCAAAAAGCAAGCTCAGTGGGTATACTTGTGGCTCAGGAAGAGTTGCCATAGATATATGTGTCTCAGTCTTCACCTGGGACAGTAAACATATGCGGTCATCAATAGTTGATCCAATAAACTTACATCTAAACAAATTTGAAATTTTATTTTTTTATTTTAAAGAAAGATTTTATTTACTGATTTGAGATGGAGATAGAAAGAGAGAGAGAGAGCACAGAGGGCGAGGGAGAAGCAGACTCCCCGATGAACAGAGAGCCCTATGCGGGCTAGATCCTAGGACCCTAAGATCTTGACCTGAGCTGAAGGCAGATGCTTAACCTGAGTGACCGAGGCAACTCACAAATTTGAAATTTTAAAATTTAACTTATATGCTTAGCTTTTAACTTAGGTAAGTGTAAATGCCCAATTAATCAACTCATTAGCTTGATCGTAAAAAAGACACTTACTTCCTTTAGTGAATCTTTTTAGTCCCTGAGAGATTCAGAATTAAATACAGAAATGAGGAAGTAAGTCAAACATGTGGTACAAAATTTGTGAAATGAGGTTTAATCATTGGGACAGTGTACCTATGTTCAATATTTTAAGTATTTATAATATTTAAGAGATATGTTACATTAGCAAATATTGAGTTAGATATGTCAAACTAATTTAAAATTTGTTATTTAGACTTTTTAGTTTAGTTGATAAGCATGGATTCTTCAATTGTGTCAATGTTGAGTGTCAACAGCTACTCACATCAAAAAAGGAGAGTCAACCTAACATTACAAGCTTCTGATTAAAGAATACACCATCACCTAGGAAGTAGTCTTACCAAAAACATTAGAACTAAATATGATTAAGCCACCTCTGCCTCACTGTCAATTTAGAGGAAATACAGAGGAGAGAGACACACATAAGCTATACCATAGGAAAGCACTCAGCAAAATCTAGACTGTGGTTAACTATAGAGCCCATAAACAACTTGATTTCTTCAACAAGTAAATTACAATAAGTTAATAAAGTGATAGAGGATAGACTTATAGCTTGAAAGAGAATTGCAAATGTATAAGCTAAAGAAAATGTGTAGACTTTATATAAATTCTTGTTCAAACAAACTTAAAAAAACCACATACACTCAATTTAAGAGATAATTGTAAATTTGAACACAGGCTTGATCTTTATATTAGCATATAGAGTCTAATTTTTAGGGATACCCACCAAAATATTCATGAATAGAATTCTATTTATTTGGTATTAGTTTCAAAATAATATGAAAGAGGGAAGTGGGTGGGGATATTGATGAAACAAGATTGGTGATGAATTTATTTAATTGTTGAAGTTGGTGCAGGGGACATGGGTGCTCATTATACTGTTCTTACTGGCTTTTATATATCTGCCTTTTATAAAATTTTTCAAAATAAATGTGTTTCTTAAAAGGGATAAGAAAAATCTCATTGCAAATACAACTGGGATATTTAAGAGAACTGGACATGCTTTGATGGATTTACGAGTCATTTAAGTTTTGGGGAAGATTTTGCTTAGTGCAGTTATTACATTTGTTCATTCGGGTTTTTGAAATGCTTAAAAAATTCAATATATATGCAATGATTTATATATGCAATGTAAAACATGGACAGGAGTAATTAAAACTAAATTTTTAAACATGAGTATCCATTTAAAAGAATTTAACCTGAACTGTCCAATCATTAGTCAAAGATCCCAAGGACAATAATTATTCCCACTTAAATAAAAATTACTAGATGTATAAATAAGATAGCAAGTTACGTGAATTTAAGTACTTAAAATATATTAGGCCTTTGCATTATTAACTTTAATGAATTGAGAATTAAAAGTACAAGATGTACATACCTTAGATGTCAAAATATACTGACATTCTACAGAATAAAATCTATAGCTCTTTTCATGGTATACAAGGTTCTTATGACCAGCCCTGTCCTTTTTTTTAAAAAGATTTTATTTATCCATTCATAAGAGACATAGAGACAGAGGCAGAGACACAGACAGAGGGAGAAAGCAGGGTCCCACAGAGGCCCTGATGTGGGACTTGATCCCAGGACCCCGGGGGTTAACGACCTGAGTCAAAGGGTAGAGGCTCAACCACTGAGCCACCCAGGTGCCCCTGACTCTGTTCTTTTAGAATATATTTTCATATTTCCTCTTACATCATCTTTTTTCACTTATTAATATTGACTCACTCTCTGAACACTCTAGTTTCTTGTTCCTCTCTGCTTTACCCACTCTGTTTTCCTCTCCTAGAATAATCTTTCTCCTTATCATCCCGTTTGTGACCCTCCTTAATCTTTAAGCCTCTCCTGAAATACTCTCTTCTCTGTGAAGTTATCTCCAATGCCCTAGGCCCACACAGTTGCTGCTTCTATGTGTCATACATTGCTCCATTACAGTGATTATTCTGTATCACTATAATTATAGAGTAATTGCTTAGAGGTCTCTCTTCCTACTACAAGACTAGAAGAAAGAGATTTTCAGTTTGTTAATTTATTATGACTGTCATTTTTAGAGCACTACTAGAATAATTCCAGTCATGTATAGGACTTTGATTTTTTTTTGATGAATTAATTATGCCCCAGCAATTCTAAGAAACTAAATTAACGTTTGTTACTAAAGTGACTTGTTTATGATCACTTTTGAAAGAGAATATTAGTCAAAAAGACTACTGGACTTACAGTTTACTTCCTAAAACACTTAGAAGAGTAACAAATAATTGCAGAATGGAGAGTATCTGCCTAGCACATTCATACATATATGGCTGCACATATGTGGTTGCACATTCACACATATGTGGCTGCAGGTTTTATACAAACCATTTATTACTTGTAGACAATGCTTGTATGCACACATTGCTTCATGGACCCA